CAGCCGACATAAGGTTTCCCTTTTTTCTGGTACTTCCCTTTTTTCATTCTATGTGACGGGAGAGGCCATAACCTGCTAGTACGGTCACTAGCTCGCCGATCTGCATCATTTTTGAAAAGTGGGCTTCTACAAAGTGGGCGGAGCTTCCATTAGTGGGCGGGGCCGCTTGTCACAGCCTAAAAAAGTGAAAATTCGGAAGAAAAATCAAAATTCCGCGAAAAACGAAAGTGGGCGTGGTCAGAGGGCCTAGTGTGCTAGTGTGTAAATGCATGGCTATATTCGTTTTGTGAAGATTGAATGTGAAAAAAGACGTCGAAAAAAGTTATAAAAATTCAGAGCTTACGTCACTTGATTGTGAAGTGGGCGGAGTCAGATCTGCATCGGTACCAATCCTTTTCAGTTGAAGTGTGTGTGCAACTAGCAAAAGTGAAAAAGTGAAGAAGCAGAATTCATAAAACATTTGGAAAACCACGGCCGCGCTAAGAAGTGGGCGGGGGTGTTGGGGCGGGGCTTGCAGCAGTACCTAGTGTGGTCTAGTTCTCAACTGCCCATTGTAAGGGGTGTGTCCGATTTGATTTGAAAAGTGTCCGATTTAAAGTGAAAATGGTGTATATAGGCAGAAGTTGTATTGGACAGAAGTAGAAAGTTCTTCTATGTTCACAAACATTCGAAAGTGCTGCCTTTCAAAAAACCTTTAGAATCAAAGAAACCCTACATAACTTTACACCTACCTAGAACCTCAAATATTTTTCTCAAGGAAGAATCTTACTTCCATAATCCCACCCATGATTTTGGCGTCTTCCACACCCAAGCCGCGATCTTGGAATTCGATTGAATTCATCTTTATTCCTATTAGAAAGTCTTTGGACGCGATCTCCTTTCTAAACATCACTGTTCACAGATGATGTCGTTCATCCTCTTTTGAAAATTACTCATTGAATTACAGCAGAAGCAGCAGATTTACCTGATGCCTTCGTAAATTTCAAGAACCACTGTCATTCTGTCTTTCGCAGATCCGCCATATTTGTCCTTTCGATTATTCGCCATTGGCGACAAAAACGATGACAATAAATAGCCGTGCGCTGCATGAAGCTGAATGCCATCGAATCCTGAGTAAGATTGGATCGTTGTTGAGGATCCACCAGTTACGGAAGCTGCCAAACAACCACAATTGGTGAAAAAGTGGCTGGCGCCGCGCCAAACCCAGATCCCCTGGAACCAGGGCACGCCATCGCTGTGATGATTACACAAGGGAGTCGTATTTGACCGCGAGGGAGGGGGGTCGTATTTGGTCGTTGTTGGGAGAGGGACTGCCAAAGATCTATACAACTACTATTTCCGATAGTTGAAAATGATAGTTAAATCCTGACGACCTCCCCCCCTCCCCCCCCGCTCGACAGCAAAATTTTGGGGAAAAACCAGAAATTTTTCGGGAAATTTCGGAAAAACTGGTAGGAGGTTAGGGAGGATCTGAGAAATTTTCTTAGGGAAAATCTGAGAAATTTTCCTGTTCCACATCGGGTGTGTATCCCACCCCACCCCAGCTCGACGGAAAAACTGGAATTTTTTTTGAAAAATGGAAAAAGTGGTAGGAAGTTGGGAAAATCTAGGAAAGTGGTAGGTAGCATGGGGAGGGGGGGGGTCGTATTTGAGGATAGGAATTGGGGTCGTATTTTTCAGGAAATGATCACAACGCGATGGCGTGTCCTTAGTGTACATCATCGGTTGAAAGTTTGGTTGAGTCCATAAATAGCACATGTG